CCCTATAAGCTTGGTGCTCAGCCAATCACAAGTCTTGGATCCTCCTGCACACTGCACCTGTCTTGAACTTAGCCATTTCACGTGGTACACAAACTCTTTCTCTCTCTCTCAGGGTTGCTGAGCAGCATCCCAGTCTACTGTATCTCTCCCTGCACCTGCTCTTGCTGCCCCTTTTCCTGAAGTCACCTCTCAGCCACTCTCTGGCCTGAGCATCTTAAGTAATGACAAAGTTATTGCTCAATAAACAGACCCAGGGCAGAAATTGAAATATTACTCTGTTCTATAAGGGGTTCACAAATATGAGAGCTGAAGTTGTTAGGGTCATTTCTTTTGATGCCCACAGAAAAAAATATTTCCACTAGGTCATATTGAGAATACTCTAAATTAGCATGAAATAATGTTTGCTTCCAACACTTATAACATCGAGCGATGTATGACCAATTTTATATTTAGTAGCCTTTTATAAAGCACAGCCAGCAATATGTTATCATAATGAAGCATGGTGCTTAAAGAGGACCTGCACTTTGCCCATTCAGGACAAAATAACAGATTAATTTGAATGCCTTCCTCGTCAGTGCTAATTCCCACCTTTTCCGTCTCCCCCATACTTGTACCACACCGTCATGAAATACCCAATACTTCCAGGTATGGGGGGGGGTGGGGGGGGGTGTTCCTTTTTCTACTTTCTTCCTTGCTGTAATACAAAGCTGCTGATTGTCAGGCCCAAGAGTGGCCATGCTGTGGCGGAGATAGGGTCCTGAGCCCTCTTCTAGTTTTGACCATAACCAAGGTAGAACTCGAAGGACTGCAGGCAAAGTAAGTACTAGCAGCAGATAAAGGGATGCTGGACGAATACCAAGAGTCAAACTATTAATTTGATTAAATTTGCAAGTATCCTTTTTTGTGATATCAGTGAAATCACCTGGTTCCTTAGAGACTTGCGCAGGCAAGGCGAGGATCCACCAATCCCTTATAGTGTTCAAACTGTATCTTGCAGAATAAGCTCATAACTTTTCACTTCTATGGCAGCTAGATGGGCGTTGGTGCCCAATTAGGGGTTTCAATCAGCAATAAGGATAAATGGATCTGCCATGCAGAAACAGCAAGAGTGAGCACATACAGTACACTGACATAGGCTATGAGGAAAAAACCAAGGGAATGCGTCCTTCTATGCTGCAATATCTGTTCCTGTAGCTTAATGACTGTACCATTCATCCTTAGAAATTACTTGACCCTGTCATTCATGTAGCAAAGACTGTATAGCTGCACAGAAAGTGGAGAGCGGTAAGCTGAATCTCAAAGATGAAGTTCACTTCCTGCCTGAATGAGCCTATAAAGAGAACTATAAGATCCTAGAACTGAATGACTGGCAGTGGAATGTTTATTATTAAAGCCCAACTCTAGCCAAAACTTGAGGGCACAGGCATCAATACAATCCCAAGAGAATGTCTAAAAATATACTTGTATCTTAGTGCAGACTTCTGGGAAAGTCAGTCAGCCAATCACAGAAGCAGGAAGTGGCATTTCTGGGGGTGTTCCATACACCGTGTACAGAACTCCTCCAGATTGCCATATTGCAGCGATGGCGGACCATGGGGGGCCAGCAGGCTTATTACAAGTGATCTTGAAAAATAATTAATTTTTTTAAAGATTTCTTTTCATTTTTATATTTTTAAAGTGGAGTTACTCTTTAGGCTACCAGTTCCATCTCCAGCTTATACAGGTCTTTTGTTTCGATGAAACGAAATGATTCTAACAAATCAAAATGAAATTATGATGCCGTTTTATGATTTTATAAAAGTGTCAGCTTGCTAAGTGACTTTCCTGCTTTTAATTTATTAGACTTGGTGAATCAGGACAAGTCACTTGGGCTGTAAACATGCTTTTTGTTTTGTGACCAGTAGTCATGTTTTATGATGTTTTTGATACCCCTGAAGACCATGCAGTTGTTTCTTCATTAAAGGCAATGTGATAATGGTCTACATAGTAAAATGTACAGTAAGTAACAACACATTAAGAAAAATTGCATTGCAGTGTATTGGAAGATGGTATTTTTTTTTTTTTTTT